CAAACTATTTCTTCAAGACATAGTATAGTGAACCTTTCGTCAGCTATGATAGGGAAATCAGTTGTGAAAAATGAAAATATATATGGATGTGTAATCATTTATATATGTTCTGCACCTCATTTCCAGGTTCCTAAAGAAAGAGGACGGTCCTTCCTTGCTTCATCAACTCTTTTAAGGCTTTCTGTTTCCAAACCAGGAAGAAAGAAAGTGAGGGGTTGGGGGGAGAGGAACCTTGAGGACAAAGCTAGGGCTGAAGAATAAGGGGAAGTTGAAAGACAGACACAAAAACACTTGTGTGAGAGAAGTGGATAGGCAAGAAGGTATGTGGTTATGTATCTGCTTCACATTGTTCAGGCTAAGAGAAGTTTTTAAAAGTTATTTTGACATGTTTTGCCATACTTGTCTGTGGTATTGGACCATAGGGGCACGTTTATAAGTATTTCACAAAATACCACTTCCAACCTATTGAAATTCCTACACAAATTCTGAGTAATGTTTGTGGCTACTTGGCTATTTAATGGAATTGATCATTGATAAAAGACTTCATCATTATAGCAAACTGACTCAGATTGTTACAAGTTTGAAATGAAAATACTCCCCTGTTCCCTAGAATAGTCCAGAGTATAAATAGTATCCTCTTCAAATTGACTAGAAAGCAACCTACAACAGCATTTTTAAATTTTTAACAAATAGTTTATTTTACTGGTTTGGGGGGTGTATATTTATTATTGCTAACTAATCACATTTTTGAATTGTCAATTGGTTAGGCTCACCAACACCTGTAATAAAAACTTTATTCATAAAACTGGTCTGAAAATGAGCTCCCAGTTCTAGTAGGCAGTGAAAAACCTGTCCAATGTAGAATGTGAAAAAACATGTCGTAAGTATCCTACATCATTTTAATCATAGTGAAACTAGCCGTCTTAAAAAAAAAAAGTACACATATCTTATACTGCTTTAGCCTGTTTGATATATTAAAGTTCTTTCACAAAACTAATACCTTGGTGCCAATTCCATATAAAAGGTTGGAAAGAATTCCTCCCATTTCTTCAGAAAGATAAAATACCTTTGTATATGCTCAAAGAAAGCTTGGACTCTCAAGGTTTCATTCATTCAGACAACATCTCTCCTGCAAGAGTTGGGGCACAATGACCAGCAGGAGGCAGTACCTGGTCTGGCAAAGGCATTGGGCCAGTAAGCACAGGAATTAACTGAATTTGAAACGATCTAAAATACAGCAGGGATGCTGACCGATAGCAGATAGTTACCTAGTGAACATGTCTGTAGTTAATACAGTAAAAAGGGCGAAGATCAATCACATAAAAGGAGGATTCCCCTCTTGTCTGGCCACTGTTTTTCCAGAAGCCCTGGATCTAGAGAACTGGAGCTACAGCTGGGTCTCAAACCTGCTCTTCCCAGCCAGGGAGGGGGTTCAGGGATCCAACTACGGGAAAGGAGTGGAGGCCAGGGCAGCGGAGAGGACTGATTCACTCGAGCCCCCGAGAGCACTGCGGCAGGAACCCCAACCTAGCGCCGTCCTTCCACTTTTCGCCGGAGTCTTTTGCGGAAGGGCTTCCTCACCTAGCTCCGGGAGGCGCCGAGGGCGGGGCGGGGCGGGGCGCGCGCAACGTTACTTCGGCCTCCGGGGCGGGCCCACGGCGAAGCCC